GAGCTAAGCAGTGAAGGCGATAGATTTGATGCAAGGCCGTCGTCGGCTGTCAGGATAAGCAGCCACGGGTTGAGCTCGGCTCAGGGCCTTAACCCTGGGTGACGGCATTTGCCAGTGCGAATAAGTTGACTGGTAAGGACTTATTCTCCGCCGCTTATTTATGGAATGACCATCCCTGGGATATCTCCATTCAGTACAAGGCCAGGCGAAGAAACATGTATGAGACAAACGGTCTTCTTGCATAATAAGCACCAGATTTAACCAGTGAAGCCTGTGGAGTGTGGGCAGCTGACCTATCTTAGGAGATTGACTTTCCCCAAAAACCGTTTGGCCCACTTCGGCAGCACTGATTTAATGTTCCAAAAAGACTGTGCAACGTTCGTAGACATTGATGGTCGAAAGCGGAAAGTTTGCAAAGGTCTTTCACACTCAGTGGCCACGCCTCTTATCCATAAATTATGACAGATCGGACGGCGACAGTGTACAGTCTACCCTTGACAGCCACGGTGACGTCGTGTCGACAGCAGAATTTTTTTTAGTTTAGCATACGCCGCCCTGGCCCTCTCAAATCCGGAAGCGATTTTATATTTTACCCTTCCGCCAGTACTTATGCGGCCGTTCAGGAGGATATACTCACCTGTTTCATCCATCGATTTACCTGCAAGCACCCAGTCTATATTCATGGAGCGCATACGGAAAGCGTAGCAGAATTATTTAGGCCATTTAAAGAAAACTGTAATTCCAAAGAGTACGATGCGGGAACAACAATACCATCGGTGCACTCGACGTCTGTGAACAAACTCCTCAGCAATGCTTCGATCCCCGAGCTGTGACAGGCAAGCAAAAGAAGGTCCGAATAGCAAATCAATCACGGAGTTAGGAGAAATGGAACAGTTGACTACATACCTCAAGCCACTAAATATGATGAACTCAGGAACGCAAGAGAGCATGCATGCAGTGTCTATACGACAGAAAAGAATTTAGAAAGGACACTTCATTGCCAGACATTTTGGCAGCCTTTGGCGATCAGAGAGTCAAAAGTAGATTCTAGAATCTGAAATATTACTGGTTGTCAGGAGGAGTGGCGTATTTCTAGCTTTTGCCGTAAAGTAAAGTTATGATCGATACAACCCCGACCGGGACTAAATCCAGCGTGAGACTTCCGAAACTGACAATCCCAGTGGCGGATCAACCAGCGTAGACTAAGGTCAGGGAACTCATTGAAATCTATGGTCCTGTAGGCTGGGAATTATTAGTGCACAGTTGGCGATAGCCA